TTATTTTTTTTTATTTTACGCTTCCTATGAGACAATACCTTTATTTTTTTTTAAATCAAAATTCCTTTTCATTCCATTTATGTAATCTAGCTAGATCTTATAAGTAATAAATGGACCAGATCAATATTGGAATTTACTTAACAAAATACATCATTTAGCATTTTAAAAACGTTAAAAATTTACTTAGTAAAAAGCTCGCTAAATATCCAACAGCTACGACGATGAGGGCCCCAATCAGCGAAAAATATAAATAGGATATTTTGTAAACTGGTAAAACGTATCTGAAAGAAAAAAAATCATTATTTATCATTATTATGTGACATTTTCTAGCATATACAAATACTAAACTGCATTCATGTAACTTTTTATTACAATCAGTGCATTGTTAAAATTTTGAATGATGCATTCTACTATTTTTGCTAACATTGTGTGTGTGTAATAAGAATTTATACATTCATTTTAGTTTATTTCTTTTACTATGTAAAAAGCCAGACAGTGTGCTTTAAAGTGTGATACGTCACAAATTTCTTTCTTTAAAAAACATATTTAACAGTTATAATAGTTTTAACACTCTTTTTTTTTCAATCCTTACTATTAGTTCACACTCTCCCTATATATATTTATTTATATATACGAGGCACATCCAGAAAGTAAATTTCCCGAAGTTTTCCCCTTTAAAGTTCACGTAATTAGCCGTGTCAATTGTGCATGCATTACAAATCTATGATGTATTAATCGTATGCCAGCCGGACAGATCCCGCCTCGTGCCAGTAACGTGGTAGCAGTGGTCCGAAATGGGGAAGCTCTTATTCCTTCTCCAGCCATATGCGAGGTTCGGTCGTCGATAAAGTTCTTGAATGCGCAAGGCATTGCGCCAATTGAAATTCATCGCCAGCTTTGTCAGGTCTATGGCCTGAACATCATGAGTAAGCAGCTGGTGCGTCGCTGGTGTAGTAACTTTTTCGATAGCCGTCAAAGTGTCCATGATGAAGAGCGCAGTGGGCGACCGTCCCTCATCAATGTTGGTCTTTTTGAGCTTCTGCGGCAGCGCATGATGGAGAACTGTCGCTTCACGATTACGGAGCTGAGCAGCCATCTTCCGCAGATATCGCGATCCTTGTTGCATGAGATGGTCACTAAACACCTGCTGTTCAAAAAAATTGAGTGACGAAAAACCTGACACCCGAACACATAATTCAACGCTTAGGAGCAGCACTGACTTTTCTGCAACGGTATCACGATGACGGTGACGAGTTCCTCGACTGGATCGTCACAGGGATCGTCAATGAAACTTGGATTTCGCACTTCACCACGGAAACCAAGCAGCAGTCAATGCACTGGCGGCATAGGGAATCTCTGGTCAGGACGGAATTCAAACAGACGCTGTTGGTGCGGAAAGTGATGTGCACGATGTTCTAGAACAGGAAGGTCATTCTGCTCATCGACTTGCTTCCACGTAGTGAAACAGTAAGCGCTGACAGTTACAGTGAAACACTGCGAAAATTGCGATGTGCCATTCAAAACAAGATTCGTGGAATGCTTACT